CTCTAACACATCCTAAGCTCATTTCATTGTAATTAACACCTCCTTCTCATTTTAAACTAGCCAAAAATAAAATGCCATTCATTCTCCATCCTTTCAGATCAGATGCCAATGTTATAATAGCCAATGTAATAGCTTCTTTTTCTACCAACTGCTCTGTTGCTAGACCTAGGACAGACTATTTCTGTAGTCACTGTGTCTAGTCCCAAACTACAGAGGCATAGAGTTGAGTTATGCTGGTTTTGGAGGAGACCTTCACCTTCTACCTAGCACCCTTTTCATAGTGCCTAATGATATGCAGAAAGACCTCAGAGGCTATGAAAATGGGGACATAGCTGTAAGAATGATTAACAACAATAATGGCTAGCATTTTAAGGTTTGCAAAGAGCTTTATAAATATCTCATTTTATCTTCACTCCAACCCTGGGAGGTAAGTGGTTTTATTATCCTCATTTTACAGATGAGGATACTGAGGCTGAGAATTTAAGTGATTTGTCCAGGGTCACATACAACTAATAAGAGTCTTAGGTGGGATTTGAATTCTTATCTTCCTGATTCCTGGGGCAATTTTCTATCTATTGCACCACATAACATCTAGAACAGAGTCCACTGTACACGTCCCAAGACAGAAAAGTCATCTAGAATTAATATTCATAACTGGTACATGAGCATTTTTTCATTATAAAAATTATGTCTATCCCTTGTCCATTGAGGACCACCCTTGCTAAATTCGGAAAAGCTTGTGACCAGGTTGGCTTTGGGGTTATTTATTTTTTATTTTGACCACAGCAACTCGAAAAGACTGTCTCACAAGTAATAAAGGAGTTATGATCTGTGTCAGAGAAGCAAGTGTCCTCAGTGATAAAGTCATGGATCCCTGAAGTATTGAGGGTTTGAGGTGCCAATAGAACATTCAGCTAGAGACATGCATCATTTTACTTTTAACTTTTTAACATTTAACTTCTCTTTCCAACTTTGCTGTTCATTCTATCACTCTCATCCATTACTTCTCTTGAATCAGCTATTACTTCTCTATCATCTATCAATAATAGTGCCTGGCTGGAAGCTGGCCTTATTATTCAGTTTCTCGTTTTGAAGAAACAAGCTGCCTCCTTGTCCAAATCTCGCCCGCCCCCCAATAGTGCTTTGGAAGACTTTAATCATGGTTCTTCAATCTAGCTACTAATTGAACACTATCATACAGGGAAGTGACTGCTCTGGCATTCTGTTCTCTTTTCTACAATTTCTCATGTGTATTCTAAGGAAATGCTCAAAAGCCGCTTTTGGGTACCCTTTGGGTCAAAACAATTTTGGTTTCAGTGAATTTTTTATTATAATTCTAATACTCTGTGCTTGGCACATAGTAAACGATTAATAAATGCTTGTTCTCTCCCACTCTCTCCCCCTCCCCTTTCCTAGAGCCAGCTCAAACAGACTCTGAAGATCAGATTATTAAATGTTCAGTGGTAGAATTTATACCTTAAAAATTGGTAAGTGTTACAAATAAGGGCTTTATTTATTGCCAAGATATATAATAGAGTGATGGAGAAAATATTCACAGTACAGATGAAACTTAAAAGTGTGTTGTTAGTACCTTTTCTTTCTGAGAGCCAGTCATTAAACATTTACCTGCACACTCCTGCCCATCTCTGTCCCCCCTCATATTCCCACTATCCTCCATTGTATAAAGTAAAGAAAAACAAAGCACTTGCAACACATAGGAACAGTGAAGCAAAACAAATCCCCACATTTTCTGTCTGAAAATGTAAACACATCTTATGCCCCAAACCTGCACAACTTCCTTCCCTATTTCTGTCTGCAGCACTATCGTGCTATGGATCACATGGTCTGTCAATTCCTCACTTCCCATTACCTTCTAGGGGAGCTTAGCCTCGGGGATCTGCCTTTATGCCCTTAGTAGCACTTTGCTCCAATAGCTCATTCTTCCAGGGGAAGATCTAAGTGAGCCTGGAGTTTACATTTTAGGTTTCTGCTTGGGAGAGTTATAGGATCATTCATAAAACTAAACCATGACTCATTAACCTCCAGGGAGGTCTTAACTAAGGAAAGTTAAACTAGAATTGCAGGGTCCTAGCAAAGACAGTGAAAATTTAAAACTCTCTGAGTTGTCCTTCAAGCATACACATTCTGATGTCAAGTAAGGACATGCCTACAGACAATTGGCAAATTTATGAAAAAAGAATCAGGCTTACAAAACACTATCAGCAGTAGTGAATAGCAAATAGGACCTAGCTGGGTTTTTCCAGCTTTATGTAGAAAAGAGAAAGATGCTACCCTTGGCTGTTGTGCTCCACAACCTGTAAGCTACTCCAGTTTAAGGTCCGTTCTCCAAATGACTTGCAGCAGTCCCACTGTCTGCGTGCTAAGGATGACACCAGGGAGAGCCTGATTGTTTTTTTGATCCATTAAATAGTTTTTATTCTGTTTCCTGATCTGAGCAGGCCCCATCAGCTTTATGTACCCCAAATTTCTTGCTGCCCAAGAGCTCATGCCTTCTTTACCAAATCCTAGACACTCCCTCTTTCAGAGAGCGATATTATTGGTCTGTGGAAGTCTATAGGAGGGGCTACATGTTGATAGCATGATCATGCATCTTTTCAGTTGTAGAGTCTCAAAATCTCAGAGTCATCTTTGATTCTTCACTCTCTCCCTTGCCTTCCACAGTCAATGGATTTCCAAGTCCTAGCTAAAGTAACTTTCCAATGTTTCTTTCGTCTGGCTGTTTTTTAATCCTACCATTACTACCTTAGATCAGAATTTCAATACCTCTCACCTGGGTTATGGTAATTGGGGAAGGAAAGGGGAACTGAATAAGCATTTATATAGTGCCTGCTGCATGCTAGGCACTGTACTAAGTGCTTTACACATATTATCTCATTTGATCCTAATTACATTCTAACATATCTCTCTGCTTTCAGTCCCTGTCATAGAGCTGCCAAATAATCTTCCAAATGCACAGGTTTGATCATCTCATTCCTCTGCTCAAAAGCCTTCAGTGACTCCTTGTTACTCATAGTTTAAAATTCAGACTCTTAACTCTATCCCTCTCCCATCTGACTCCAACATATGTTTCCACCCTTATTTTACTTTCCTCTACTTCACGAACTCTATGTTTCAGTCCAGTTTCGGACACTTCAGAGCTGGGTAACCCTGAGCAAGTCACTTAACCCTGTTTGCTTCAGTTTCCTCATTTGTAAAATAAGCTGGAAAAGAAATGGCAAATCAATTCAGTTTCTTTGCCATGAAAAACCCCAATGGGGTCACAAAGAATCAGACATGACTGAAAAACAACTGAACAACAAAACTATTTTTATGTTTTATAATGTATATAATTAGTATAGCAATAATATACATAATTAATTAATAAGCAAATATAAATATGCAAATAATTCTTAGATCTACTTGTCCAGCCTGTGTGTTTGTTGTATGTTCTCAAGGAGAACCAAAATGACTATGCTGGAGTCAACTTGGTCTGACTGTGACTAATCAGACCAAAATGAACTTGGAATGTTCTACCACCGGTTGGGCACAAATAGTCAATATAAACATTTGGGGTATCTAGCCCTAGCTTCCCTTCCAACCTCTAGTACTAAACTGCCTGTTACACATCTTGAGCTGGATACCCCATAGACATTTTTAACTCAGCATGTCCAAAACTGAACTCATCATCTCCCTCCCCCCAAACCTTTTTCTCTTCTTAACTTCACTATTACTGTCAAGACCTTAGCAGTTAGGCAGCACAGTGGATAGAGAGTCAGGCTTGAAATTAAGGAAGACCTGAATATACATTCACTAGATGTGTGACCCTGGGCAAATTACTTAACCTCCACTTACCTTAGTTTCTCAATTGTAAAAGGGGTATAATGATAACACCTACTTCCCAAGCTTGTTGTGAGGATCAAATGAGATAATATTTGTAAAGTACTTAGTACAGTCCCTGGCACATAGTACGTGCTTAATAAATACTTGTTTCCTTCCTTCTTTCTAGTAACTCGGGTCCCAAATCTAATAGTCATCCTCTACTCCTCACTCTCTCTCACCCCCTTCTCCTTATCCAATTAGTTGTCAAGTTCTGTCATTTCTACCTCCTTTTGTACGATTTTCTACATTACTTGCATACATCCCCTTTTCTCTTCTGACTCCATTGCAACTACCCTGGTATAGGCCCTCATGACTGGACTACTACCATAGCATTCTAGTTTGTCTCCCTGAATTGTCTCTCCTCGCTCCAATCCATACTTGACTTAATTGTCAAACTGATTAACCTAAAACCCAGTTCTGATGGTATCACCCCCCAACCCCATCCCAGTTCTATAAACTCTAGTGGATCCTATAAAACCTTGAGAAAGCTAGACAAAAGGTTGAGATAGCAGCTCTATAAAAGAGGTAGCTAAGAACTATGATCATTAAAACCCAAAAAATAAAATAAAGAGCAAAAAAAGTAAGAAGAATTTTGAATCTTGTAACTTCAGAATTGTAAGGGGCCTCAGCAGTCATCTGATACAATCATTATCAACACTTGGATTCTCTTGACAATAACCCTAATAAATGGTGATCTAGCTTCTTCTTGAACACCTCTAATGATGAGGAGATCACTACCTTTAGAGAAGCCCATTCTATTTTTGGAGAGCTCTGGTAGACAATTCTTCTTTATAGCAAGCTGAAATCTGTCTCCCATAACTTCCTTTCATTGCTCCTACTTTTGTTCTCTAGCAGAAAATGTTACTTAAATCATTATAAACCAGCCGAAATAGTACAACTAAGATAACAGATGGGATAATAAGGAAAAACAAAGCACACACACAGAAGAACTGGACTGGGAGTCCAGAGATCCTAGGGAGATCTTACCTCTGGTCTTGACTAGCACCAAGTAAATACCTGTCTAATTCTGGACAGACTGCTTTCACGGGCTTGGTTCCCACATCTGTAAAAACAAATTTGTAATTTGTAAAAAAGAATTCATATCGAATCATGATACTTACCATGTCATCTTCTGAAATGCTGTCAATACTTTCAATCTGGACATCTATACCCACAGGTACTGGTGCCCCTGCAGTGCAATGAAAGAATTGTACACGCAAAAGACACAAAGTAAATACAAAGCAGTCTGGGGTGTTAGAAGGATGGCATTAACAATGAGAAGAGTAAGATAGGGGATAGTACTTGAGCTGAGTCTTGAAAGAAGTTAGGAATTTATGAGGCAGAGGAAGGGAGGGAGTACACTCTAGACAGGCATGAAGACAGAGGCACCAAAATGAGATATGGAATTTTATTCATGACAAACAGCTGGTAGACTAATTTGGTTGGGAAAAAGAGGCAACAGAGTGAAGTAGTATATAATCAGCTTGGAAAGGTAGACTGTAGCCAGGGCTGTAAATGCTAAACAGAGATCTTGTATTTCATCTTAGATGTAAGAGGGAATCACTGGAGCAGGGGTGTGATATATTCAGATTTATACTTTATGAATCTCAATTTGGTAACTGTGTGGAGGATGGATTGGAGAGGGGCATGGAAGGCAGGGAAACAAAATAGGAGGCTATTGCAATAGTCCAGGAATGAGGGGAAGGATATCTGAACTAGGATGGTTGTGGCAGAGATGGAAAGAAGTTTCAGATACAATAGGTATTGTAGAGGTAGAATTAATACAACTTGGCATCTTATTTAATATGAGGGAAAGGGAGAGTAAAGAATTGAGAACAACTTCAAGGTTATGAACCAGGGTGACTGAAAAGGATAGTGATACGTGCAATGGAAACAGGGAAATTAGGAATAGGGGCAGCTAGGTGGAGCAGTAGAAGAAGTGTGGAGCCTGGAATTGTGAAGACCTGAGTTAAAATCTGGCCTCAGACACTTAGTAGCTGTGTGACCCTGAGCAAGTCACTTCAGACTGTTTGCCTCAGTTTCTTCATTGTAAAATGAACTGAAGAAGAAAATGGCAAACCACTCCAGGATCTTTGCCAGGAAAACCCCAAATGGGGTCATAAAGAGTTGGACACAATTGAAATGACTGGAGGATTTTGGGGAAAAGATGAGTTGAGTTTTAGATTTGTTGAATTTAAGATCCTCCAATTGAAACACTGGATTTTTCCATTGTAAATAAATCTGACTAACCCCTCTGTGATTGACTCTGTCTATTACCAATATGATAAGAAATATAGGCTTATCCCTTAGGAATGGGGGCCTGGAGATCTCTGAGATTCATATTATCTCTCTATTCAAAACTTGGGATAGGTTTCATTATTATGAATTTACTCAACATGATATAGAAGAAAGAGAAGGAGATTTGGAGTTAAAAGAACAATCTTGATTCTGCTACTTACTAAAGGTAGACAAATAGTTTTATCTCTCTGGGCCTCAGTTTCCTTTTTTGTAGTATGAGGGGGATAGGGCTAGATCATTTCACAGTTCCTTTTTAGCTCAAATTTTCTGATTTTCGATCCTGTAATTCTGCACAAAGAAAGTTAAAGGAGATATAGAATGTCAGGACTTTCTGAAAATGACCCAGTCTTAGTTTTCACTTGCCTATCATAAATTTGGTGAAAGCCATTGAAATCCCTATTGAGGTTAGCTGGGCAGGCACATTTTCATATGTTTCTTGGCCAACACTCTGCTTCAGGGATATTCTGGATCAGGCCCAACTCAGGAAGGTCTGGTTGTTCAGATTTGAGATTGGAATGGAATGAGACTCTCAGATTTTCTAATATTTAACAAAAGAAGTTGTAATTAACAATAGCATGGGGAAAGAAATTCATCAAGGATGCAGCATTGGGCTTAGTTCTTCAACCTTCCTATTTGTCAAGGTGATGGGTCTGGTTAGACAGTGGGTGCCAGGTCCAATAATGGTGGGCCTGCTCACATATGTGGGTCAAAATTAAGGAGCCTGGATTCCTGCACAGAGTTTTTGTGCTTATGTGACCAAGAAGCTATTACAATGGCAGAGCTTTAGTTTCCTGGACCAATTAAGTCTCAAAGACATTGTGATTGCCTTGCAGGGTATAAAAGCCCCCTAACTTAGCATTTGTGGCAAGGATCTTAGTAAATGTTGCCTCCCTTTTGTCCTATCCTTCAGCTTCTGGGCTATCCCAGAAACCGTCCTGTATGGCTAGGCAGAGGAAAGACATACCAACACTGGGGGAACCCTACTCTAGCCCAGGCTGCCCAGAACCCATCCAGCCTGATAGATGATTCACATAACTTGGAAGAAGTGGGAGTGACTATTTCCATTCCTTCCTGTGGGATGGGCAGATGCACTAGACCCTATTGACTCCTAAAGTCCTCCAAGATCTTACCATCTGCATGCTTTTATCCCTAGCATCATTATCAAATCTACTGATGTAACCTGAGGACATCTGAATGTTGCCATCCACCACATTTTTTTATTTTTAATTTTTAAAAGAAATATTTATTTATTTTTAGTTTTTTAACATTCACTTCTATAAGATTTTGAGTTCCAAATTTTCTCCCCATCTCTCCCCTCCCCACCACCCAAGATGGCATGCAATTTGATATAGACTTTACATACACATTCATATTGAACTGATTTTCACATTAATCATGTTGTAAAGAAGAATTAGAACCAATGGGAGGAACAACAAGAAAGAAGAAACAAATGAAACAAAAAGAAAAAAGAAGAAAGAAAAAATAATATGCTTTTTTCTGCATTCAGACTCTATAGATCTTTTTCTGGATGTGGACAGCATTTTCTATAATGAGTCCCTTGGAGTTGTCTTGGATCCTTGCATTGCTAAGAAGAGATGAGTCTATCCAAGTTAGTCATCACATGTTGTGGCTGTTACTGTGTGCAATGTTCTCCTGGTTCTGCTCACTTAACTCAGCATCAGTTCATTCAAATCTTTCCAGGTTTTTCTGAAGTCCGCCTGTTCATGATTTCTTAACCACAGTCAATACATGTGATTCGAGTCACAGGACAAAGGTTCTCAGGCAATGGGAATTAGGGTAATCAAGTTTCTTTGGAAAGGGGGTGATGGGTGGGGGTTACAAAGGTGAAAGTAACTATAAGACAAAAGCTTGACATGTAGGCAAATTTCTCTGGGATGTGAGTGGATAAAGTTTACCAGGGGAAGGAACCATGAAAGGGAATATTAAAACTACATTAATAAAGTCTTAGCAAAATAGAATTAAAATAAATTTTCAATGTTACAGTAGGCTTGACTCTTTGGAATAGAATCTTAGATTCTATCTTTTTTCTTCTGAGAATCGGAAAGTTCAGTTGGAGAAACATCCCATTATCCTCATGGTAAACTAGGAAATTTTGTGGCCTGGGAGATAGAAAGTGGGACTTGGAGTCAGAAAAGAATTGAATTCATTTCTAGCCTCAGACATTTACTAGCTACGTGACCCTGATTGTTGTTTAGTTGTTTCAGTTGTGTCTGACTCTTTGTGACCCTTTATGGGGTTTTCTTGATATAGATCCTGGAGTGGTTTGGCATTTCTTCTCCAGCTCATTTTTACCTCCTTCATTTGTGTGAGTGTGTGTTTTTAAAATAGTATTTAATTTGTTCCCCCAGTTACATGTCAAGATAATTTTAGCATTTGTATTTACAGGATTTTGAGTCAGAAATTTTTCTCCCTGCCTCTCTCCCCTCCCCTCTTCCAAAAATGGTAGGCAATTTGATATAAGTTATATATGTGCTATCATGTAAAACATATTTCCATATTAGTCATACTTGTGAAAGAAGAAATAAATCAAAAGGAAAAATAAATAGGAAAAAGGAAAAATAAAAAGGAAAAAATAAAATAAGTGAAAAAAATACGCTTTGATCTTCATTCAGAGTGCATCAGTTCCTTTGTACTAGTCTTGGATCATTGTGTTGCTGAGAAGAGCTGAGTCATTCACAGTTGATCATAACACAATGTTGCTGATACTGCTTACAATGTTTTCCTGCTTCTGCTCTGTTCATGATTTCTTATTGCATGATAGTATTCCATTACATTCATATGCCACCATTTGTTTAGCCATTCCCCAATTGACGGATATCCTCCAGTTTCTAATATTTCGCCACTAAGAAAAGAAAAACCACTATAAATATTTTTGTAAATGTAGGTCCTTTTCCCTTTTTGATGATCTCTTTGGGATGCAGACCTAGTAGTGGTATTGCTGGATCAAAGGGTATGGATATTTTGGTTGCCCTTTGGACATAGTTCCAAATTGCTCTCCAGAATGGTTGGATCAGTGCACAACTTTACCAACAGTGCATTAGTGTCCCAATTTTCTCACATACTCCCCACAATTTATCATTCTTTTTTGGTATATTAGCCAATCTGATAAGAGTGAGGTGGTATCTCAGAGTTTTAATTTGCATTTCTTTAATCAAAAGTTATTTAGAGCACTTCTTTGTGTGCCTATAGATAGCTTTAGTTTCTTCACCTGAAAACTGCCTGTTCATATCCTTTGACCATTTATCAATTAAGAAATGGTTTATATTCTTGTATATTTGACTTAGTTCTCTATATATTTGGGAAATGAGGCCTTTATCAGAGACACTTGCTGTAAAGATTGTTTCCCAGCTTTCTGCTTCCTTTCTAATCTTGGTTGCATTGCTTTTGTTTACACAAAAAAATTTACTTTAATATAATCAAAATTATCTATTTTATATTTTGCAATGCTTCCTAGCTCTTGTTTGGTCATGAATTCTTCCTTTCCCCATAGATCTTGCAGGCAGAATATTCCTTTGTCTTCTAATTTGCTTATGAGTGTCACCTTTTATGTGTAAATCATACATCCTTTTTGACCTTGACTTGGTATATAATGTGAGATGCTAGTCTATACCTAGTTTGTGTCCTATTGTTTTCCAGTTTTCCCAATAGTTTTTGTGAAATAGTGAATTCTTATCCCAAAAACTGGGGTCTTTGGGTTTGTCAAACACTAGGTTTGATAGGTCATTGATTACTATGTCTTATATACCTAATCTATTTCACTGATCCACCATCTCCTGGTAATTTTACAATGAAGCAAATAGGGTTAAATGACTTGCCCAGGATTATACAGCTTGTAAGTGTCTGAGATCAAATTTGAACTTAGGTCTTCCT